TATTTTTCAACTCCATAAGTTCATTTGTATTCCTCTCTATATTGTCTATTCTTTTCAACATTTCATCTAACCTTTTTTCCAAGTTCTTAGTTTCTTTACATTGGGTTAGAACAAGTTCCTTTAACTCCCAGAAGTTTCTTATCATCCACCTTTTAAAGCCTACTTCAGATAATGGAACACAGTCCTTTTCCATCAGGGCTTGTTCCGTTACTGATGAGTCCTTTTCCATCAGGGCTTGTTCGGTTGCTGATGAGTCCTTTTCCATCAGGGCTTGTTCCGTTGCTGATGGGTTCTGGTTTTGAGTATACTCGGCCTTCTTAGGCTGTTTTTTTCCCTTCATTGTAGGTGAACCGCCTTTCTAACTAGTTTTCTGAGTCGACGTCCGACTTATTGATTCCCAGTGTTGGGATCCGAGCAACCCACTGTGGCGGCCTAAATAGCAGCGGTAAGACTGATGGTGCTCTTCTGCCCGGGAATCTCTGGTCTGGCTTCCCTCTTGAGTCCGCAACAAGCGGCTCTGACTTCCCGGAGCTCCAAACTCCGGTCAGTAGGGGAAGCAGTCCCGTTGGCTCTCCATGAAGAGCTGCTGCGCCGAGACGCCGGCCAAACCGCTGCGGCGGCCACAAGAGTCGTGCTGGCGACCAGTGGGGCTCCTCCACTGGGAATCGCTGATCGGTGAGTGACGAAAATTCGTCCAAAAGTGTGGCGTCGTCTCGTTCTCTGGGCTTTCACTGGGAGCTACAATCCTGAGCTGTTAGTGGTCGGCCATCTTGGATCGATCTCTCGACTCTTTTTTTTTTTTTTTGAGACAGAGTTTTGCTCTTGTTGCCCAGGCTGGAGTGATTGTAGTGGCACCGTCTTGGCCCACTGCAATCTCCACCTCCTGGATTCAAGAGATTCTCCTGCCTTAGCCTCCCAAGTAGCTGGGATTACAAGCATGTGCCACCATGACTGGCTAATTTTTTGTATTTTTAGCAGAGATGGGGTTTCACCATGTTGGCCAGGCTAGTCTTGAACTCCTGACTCACGTGATCCGCCTGTGTTGGTCTCCCAAAGTGCTGGGATTATGGGTGTGAGCCACTGTACCCGGCCTGTTTTTCTTTCTTTTTTTTTTTTTTTGAGACAGTCTTACTCTGTTGCCTAGGCTGGAGTGCACTGGCATAATCTCGGCTCACCACAACCTCTGCCTCCTGTGTTCAAGTAATTCTCCTGCCTCAGCCTCCCGGGTAGCTGGGACTACAAGTACACACCACCATACCTGGCTAATGTTTGTATTTTTGGTAGAGATGGGGTTTCGCCGGGTTGATGAGGCTGGTCTTGAACTACTGGCCTCAAGTGATCCACCCACCTCGTCCCCCAAAAGTGCTTGGATTATAGGTGTGAGCCACCATGTCTAGCTGCCCCAGTTGTCTTCAATAGTTTTCCTGCCTTCAGGTATGGCAAATGCTCATACCAGAATGAACAAGATGAATGGAATGGAATATTGTTGGGTGGAATTTCAAGTTTTTAGGAAGAATTAGAAATGACACAGAACGATATTATCCTTTCTCATTCTGAAGAAGTTTGGTTATTGAGGGAACAGGGCAGAGACCAAGGAGAGAAATTTCTGGTAAAATCCTGTAAATTGGCTGGGCGCAGTGGCTCACGCCTGTAAATCCCAGCACTTTGGGAAGCCAGGGTGGGCAGATCACGAGATCAGGAGATCCAGACCATCCAAGCCAACATGGTGAAACCCCGTCTCTACTAAAAATACAAAAAATTAGCTGGACACGGTGGCGCGTGCCTGTAATCCCAGCTACTCGGGAGGCTGAGGCAGGAGAACTGCCTGAACCCAGGAGGCGGAGGTGGCGGTGAGCTGAGATTGTGCCATTGCACTCCAGCCTGGGTAACAAGAGCAAAAGTCCATCTCAAAAAAAAAAAAAATAATAATAATAATAATTGAGCCAGGTGTGATGCTTATGCCTGTAATGTCGAGGCTGCAGTGAGCCGTGATTGCACCACCACAGTCTCCAGCCTGGGCACCAGAGTGAGACCCTGTCTCAAAAAAAAAAAAAAAAAAAAAATTGAAGGCTGGTTTGTTGTATAATCCCAGCACTTTGCAAGACTGAGGCAAGAGGATCACTTGAGCCCAGGAGTTTGAGACCAGCTGGGGCAACACAGAGACACCTCATCTTGAAGACTAAGAAAGAGGAAAGAAGAAGGAGGAGGAGGGGGGAAAAGAGGAAGAGGAGCAGAAGGAAAAGAGGAGGAGGAGGAAAAGAAGGAGGGAGAAAAGGAAGAAATGAGCCAGTTGTGGTGGCTCAGGCCTGTAATCCCAGCACTTTGGGAGGCTGAGGCAGGCAGATCACCTGAGGTCAGGAGTTTGAGACCAGTCTAACCAACATGGTGAAACCTCATCTCTAGTAAAAATATAAAAATTAGCCAGGTGTGGAGGAGTTCACCTGTAATCCCAGCTACTCAGGAGGCTGAGGCAGGAGAATCGCTTGAACCTGGGAGGCGGAGGTTACAGTGAGCTGAGATTGTGCCATTGCACTCCAGCCTGGGTGAGAGTGAGACTCTGTCCCCCAAAAAAAAGAAATGAAGAAGAGGAAGAAGAGAAGAAGGCCTAGCACATGAAAAGGAGACATCTCTAAGCAAGGTTCTCAAATATGACCTAGGTGAGGAGACAAGAGTGCCGTGACCTGGCCTGTTGGATTGGTTAACATTCCCAGCCCTCCTGTGTGGTAATGTTCCTGTATTCCAGGTAGAGGTGACACACTTAATATTTCCTGATATGGTTTGGACCTGTGTCTCTACCATATCTCATATTCAGTGGTAATTCCTAGTGTTGGAGGTGGGGCTTGGTGGGAGGCCTCAAAGGTATTTCAGAGACCTTTGCAGCAGCCCCTCCCATCACGGGCCCAGAGGCCTAGGAGGACTGAATGGTTTTGTGGGCCATGTCCAGGGCTCCCCTGCTCTATGCTGCTTCCTGCATTCCAGCTTCTCCAGCTCCAGGCATGGCTCAAAGGGTCCCAGGTATAGCTTGGGCCACTGCTTCAGAGGGTGTAAATCTACCTTGTTAGTTCCACGTAGTATTAAGCCTGAGGGTGTGCAGAGTGCAAGAGTTGAGGTTTGGGAGACTTCGCCTAGATTTCAGAGGATGTATGGAGGATCCTGGGCATCCAGGCAGAAGCCTGTTGCAGAGGCAGAGCACTTATGGAGAACCTCTACTAGGGTAGGGTGGAGGGGAAATGTGGGATTGGAGCCACCACGTGGAGTCCCCACTGGGGCACTGCCTAATGGAGCTGTGAGAAGAGGGCCATTGTTTTACAGACCCCAGAATGATAGATTCACTGCCAGCTGGCCCCCTGCATCTGAAAAAGCCACAAGCACTCAACACCAGCCTGTGAGAGTAGTCATGGGGGCTGAACCCTGCAAAGCCACAGGGATGGAGCCCAAGGTCTTGGGAGCCCACCCCTAGCACCCACCCTTAGCACCTGCTGGCAGTCATTAAATGATTTACATTCCCTACCCCCAGGTCTCCTTGTGACAGTCACCCCAAAATGTTCAGGTTCACTCTGGCCATAAAAGTGAGATTTTGGCATTATTAGCATCATGTTGGAATCACGTTTGGACTTGCATGGGGCCTGAAGCCCCTTTCATTTGGCTCATTTCTCCCTTTTGGCATGGGAGTATTTACCCAATGCCTGTAACCCCATTGTGTCTTGGGAGTAACTAACTTATTTTTTATTTTACAGGCTCATAGGTGGAAGGGACTTGCTTTTTCTCAGATAAGACTTTGGACTTCGGACTTTTAAGTTAACGCTGGAATGAATTAAGGCTTTGGGGATTATTGGGAAGGCATGATTGTATTTTGAAATGTGAGAAGGACATGAGATTTGGGAGGGGCTGGGGCAGAATGATATGATTTGGACCTGTGTCCCCAACAAGTCACATGTCAAATTGTAATTCCCAATGTTGGAAGAGGGGTCCGGTGGGAGGTGACTGGGTCAGGGGGGTGGGTTTCTCATGAATGGTTTGGCACCACCCCCCTCGGTACTGCCCTTGAGATTGTGAGTTCTCCTGAGACTAGGCTGTTTAAAAGTGTGTGGCACCTCCCCCCTCAGACTCTCTCTTGCTCCTACTCTGGCCATGTGATGTTTGTGCTTCTCCTTTGCCTTCCGCCACAATTGTAAGTTTCCTGAGGCCTCCCCAGAAGCCAGGCAGGTGCCAGCATCATGCTTCCTGTAGAGTCTGCAGAACCATGAACCTATGAAACCTCTTTTCTTTATGAATTACCCAGTCTCAGATACTTTTTTTTTTTTGATATGGAGTCTTGCTCTGTCACCCAGGCTTGGTCTCCACTCACTGCAATCTTCACCTCCCAGGTTCAAGTGATTCTCCTGCCTCAACCTCCTGAGTAGGTAAGATTACAGGTGTGCACCTGGATAATTTTTGTATTTTTAGTAGAGATGAGGTTTCACCATGTTGGTCAGGCTGGTCTCGAACTCCTGACCTCATGATCCACCCACCTCAGCCTCCCAAAGTGCTGGGATTGCAGGTGTGAGTCACCGCACCCGGCAGGTATTTCTTTATAGCAATGCAAGAGCAGGCTATACACCTCCCAATAACTGTGTTCTCCTAGTAGTCTGCCATCAGTGGAAATACATTACACTATACACATCAAAGGTCCTGGGGCCTCCTGTGTGTGATGGAACGTATTACATTCTCTTGGGAGTGATGGGTGAGATTTTACGTTCATTAAAAAAAGCATAAGTTAAAAAAACAAAACAAAACGTTAGTAACACTGGTTTATATTTCCTACCCCCAGGTCTCCTTGCAACAATCACCCCCAAGATTTTCAGGTTCTGTCTGGCTATAAAAGTGAGATTTTGGCATTATCAGTGTGAACTAGCTACCATAACCTCTCCTGGAGGCCTCTTCAGCCCTTTCTTGTGCAAGATACAAAGGATAGGCAGAGGAGGAGCCACGGGCCCCAGGCCCCTAAAGACAAGGCCATCTGAGGAACAGGCTCAGCAGTTTATTTCTTGGTGCTTCCAAGAGCTCATGGAAAAGCAGCACAGTGAGCACAAGCAACACTGGTCTCCACAGTCCCAGCTTGGCTGTGTGGGACCCACTGGCTGCCAAGGGATGGGTGCCGAAAGAGAGCAGAGTGAAGGCAGGCGCCTGAGAAAGTGAAGGCTCAAAATGTGGAGTATGGGTGTTGAGGGGTAGAGTTCAGATCCAGATGTCAGAACTACAGTCGCCCCCAGGGTAGCGGAGCTCATGGGCGAGGGCTGGGCCGAGGGGCTCCTTCCCGAAGTCCACCAGGAAGTTGGGGTTCAACTTCAGCCCTCCTTTCACTGTGTCTACATCAACCTGCAGCATCACAGAGCCTTCCCTGGTGGAAAAGGGGAGCAGGGGAACGGAGAGGTCAGAGGTGACTGCCCCTTCCCCTAACATTTTAGGGGAAGGCTCCTGAGGAAGGAGGAATGAGCAGGGTCTCAGTGGGCCATCTGTGTGGTGGGGGACGGGGGGATCCCTGAGGAGTCTTCAGAAAGCTGAATGACTCCTCTGGAAGAGGAGGGCGGGGAGGTGAGCCCATGTGTCTGCTTCCCACCTGATGAGATCAGGGTAAAACTGCTTGTCCCAGGCACTGTACAGCGACGTGGTGACGTAGAGGCGCTTCCCGTCCAGGCTGAGCTGGATCATCTGAGGGCCTCCAGGCACCCGTTTTCCCTTGGGAAAACCAGGGATCAGAGCCTGGGTAACACACAGATGGCAGGCACCACCCCAGCCCCAAGGGTATGCCCAGGAGCCGCTCCCCCTCATATTCCTCAAGCATTTGTCTGGCAAGTAGGGGGAGAGGCCCTTACCTTGACCACCAGGGGCTCTGGCTGAGACTTTAGTTCTTGGTCCTCCAGCACTTGCACGGGCCCCCCCCTTAACAATGCTGCCCCCGAGGAAGAGCTGGATGGGGAGGTGCAGAGGATGAGGACCACAGTGGGAGGTCAAACACTGCAGGAAGGGCAGCTTGCCTGGCTGGGGTCCCTCTCTCCTTCAGACATGCTCTGCATGCACTTCCCTGGCCTGGACAGTCCTGGGCCTGCACTGGGCCTATACCTGTAATCCCAGCACTCTGCAAGGTGGAGGCGGGCAGGTGGGTAGATTGCCTGAGCTCAGGGGTTCGAAACTAACCTGGCAACACGATGAAACCCTGTCTCTACTTAAAAAATATAAAAAATTAGCTTGGTGTGGCGTTGTACACCTGTAGTCCCAAGTACTCGGGAAGCTGAGGCAAGAGAATTGCTTGATCCCGGGAGGCGGAGGTTGCAGCAAGCCAGGATAATGTCCTGCAGCCCACGTGTCTGCTTTTCCTGCCCCTCCCTCGCCTCCAGCTGCGTTGGACCATCCACCCCAACTCCAGATTCTCTTCTCCTTCCTTCCTCCCCTTCTGTTTCTCCTGCCAGCATCCCCACCTGTCCTGTGAGGCGGGGCCTCTGCGGGTCGGAGATGTCATACTGCCTCAGGTCCCCGTGCAGCCAGTTGCTGAAGTAGAGGAAGCGATCGTCCAGGGACAGCAGGATGTCGGTGATCAGTCCTGGGGGCAGGGGCGAGTAGAGGCTTTCAGGACTCTTGCTTCCCAGGCCAAGAGTTAGCTTCCCCATGCCCTAGGCACTCACCTGGCATTTCGGGCAGCAGCCAGCCCTTCACTTTCTTGGGGGGCACCTGGATAACCTTCTCCACTGACCAAGTACCGCCCTACGTTGAGGAGTGGAGGGGGAGGTTAGCTGGCGGAGAGGTGAGCCTATCAGAACTGGGGACTGGGGGTTAGATCTGGGTCGCCCAGACCTGGGAGGGAGAGGTCAGATGCCTGGGCTTCTTGCCACTAGGATGTAACTCCATGCAAACCCCCTGAGGCAGGAGTTGTGTCGTTTCACCACCGCATTCCCAGAACAAAGCACAGTGCCCAGCATAGAAATTCACTGAATAGTTTTTGAATGAATGAATAAATATGGCCAATTAGGGTTCAGGCAGAAGTTGGTCTAGCCCCGAGAAAAGAGAGACAGGGCATGCAGCCTCGATTTTTTCTTTTTCCTTTTTTTTGAGACAGAGTCTTGCTCTGTTGCCAGGCGCCAGGCTGGAGTGCAGTGGTGCAATCTCGGCTCACTGCAACCTCTGCCTCCCGGGTTCAAACAATTCTCCTGCCTCAGTCTCCCGAGTAGCTGGGACTACAGGCACACGCCACCACACCCAGCTAATTTTTGTATTTTAGTAGAGACGGGGTTTCACCATGTTGATCAGGATGGTCTCGATCTCTTGACCTCGTGATCTGCCCGCCTCGGCCTCCCAGAGTGCTGGGATTACAGGCGTGAGCCACCGCGCCCGGCCCAGCCTCGTTTTTTTCATTCCTGGAGATGCCTGGGCTGGTGGAGCCTGGGAGCACTGTTACAGAAGCCTGCTTAGGTAGAGCTGCTGACGAGACTACTGGGAGGGGAGGGCCAGAGGGCATACGTCACCTCGTTCTTGTAGAAGCGCTGGATGGTGGCGCTGAGAGCACAGCCCACAAAGCCTTGGGCAGCGTCTGGGTTGTGCAGGAAGCGGATCTCCAAGGGAATGAGCCCATCTTCCATAGACAGGGTCTGCACGATCTCATGGCGCTGCCAGTCCCACACATATAAATGGCTCCCATACAGCCCTGGGGTAGGAGTGGGGCCGGAGGGTAGGCTCAGCATCAAGGGTTGGAAGGCATGGGCAAAGGCTGGGCCATCAATCAGGGCGGAAGGTTAGGAAATGGATTGGAGGGATCAGGAGGACGCTTGGGCAATCTGAGTGTGCAGCACATCCCATGCCATCCTCTTAAGATTCTGGGGCCACAGGAGGGAAGTGCAAGGATGGGAGATTTGGAGCAGAAAGCAAGGGGATGCGGGCCCAAGGCTCCTGCTGGGCCATGGGGGGATTCTCACCAGCCTCCACATCTGCGGGCTTGAAGCCATCTCGTAAGACATTGGGAGCTGCCCACTCCGTGCTGATCATGACATTGTGTCTAGGCTGGTACCAGAAGTCATAGCCCAATGGCGCAGCACCTCCAGGTCGCTCCCATGTCCCCTTCACCTCGAACGTCTCCCCATCCAGCAGCACAAAACCCCCTGAACAGGGAAGGAAGTGGAGTGGCAGTAGAGACATGAACCCCGCCCTCCAGCCATCACCCCAGGCATGTCCAAGAGGCTTTAAGCCCACTGCCGGATTTGCCAGCGCCTTAAATTCAGGCATCCAGGGCTGGGGGGGCAGTGACTCACGCCTGTAATCCCAGCACTTTGGGAGGCCGAGACAGGTGGATCACTTGAGGTCAGAAGTTCAAGACCAGCCTGGCCAAAATGGTGAAACCGTGTCTTTTCTAAAAATACAAAAAATTAGCCAGGCGTGGTGGCACACACCTATAATCCCTGCTACTTGGGAGGCTGAGGCAGGAGAATCACTTGTACCCAGGAGGTGGAGGTTGCAGTGAGCTGAGATCATGCCACTGCACTCTAGCCTGGGTGACAAGAGCAAGAGTCCATCTCAAAAAAAAAAAAAGTAAATAAAAAGTTCAGGCATCCAAAGGGTTCCACCCAGATGGCAGGGAGGGCTCTGCTCTAGTGCCCCTGTCTCCTGTCAGCCTCATCCCTCTCACAGACCACAGCGAAAATCTTTCTCCCACAGGATCTTCTGGGACTCAGCACTTAGTATTTCTCTCGTCCAGCCTCCCACTTTTGGAGTGGGTTTCTCCCAGAGTCTAAGCTCCATTCTGCTCACTACAGTTTTTTGAGACAGGGTCTCACTCTGTTACCCAAGCTGAAGTGCTGTGGGTCAATCACAGCTCACTGCAGCCTCCATCTCCGTGGGCTCAGGTGATCCTCCCACCTCAGCCTCTTGAGAAGCTGGTGTTGCAGGCCTGCACCACCACACCCGGCTAATTTGTGTACTTTAGTGCAGGGTTGCCAGTACCGACTCTGTTTTATCAGCAGACAACGCGGCGATGGGGTTTTGCCACGTTGGCCAGGCTGGTTTGGAACCTCCTGAGCTCAAGCGATCCGCAGGCCTTGGCCTCTTGAAGTGCTGTGATTACAAACATGAGGCACCGCACCCGGCCTGTTTTGACTATAACTTTGAACTGAATTCATCAGGAAAGGCTCATCCTAATAGAAATACTCAAAACTGAAGTTACTTGCTACCATTTAAAGTACTGGCTGGGACCACCAGGGAAGTCATTCCTTCCCTCCCTTCGCTTGGGATCTGCTCCTCCCACAGAAAAATGCTTCCCACATTTCACAGCTGCGGAAGTTTTCATGAGCACACAGTGCTGGCAGGTACCTTTGCCGTTGCCCTTGACGTCTCCCAAGGAGCTGATCATCACCTCCCCACTGGCCAGGCAGTGGGTGGTGTGGAGAAAGGCCAGTCCGCACTTGGCATGGATGTCCTTGGGTTCAATGACCTGGAAGGAATTGTTTCAAAATCTTACAGGGCTGGGAGTCCCTGCTCTTAACCTCCACACTTCCCTGCTTCCCTACTTCTGTCTGCTGATGTCATCTCTTCCTTCAAAACATGGACACAAAGGCTGGTCTCGGTGCTCAGGTGCTCTGGCCACCGTGCTGGAGGGTGATTACGCCTGTAATCCCAGCACTTTGGGAGGCCAACGCGGGTGGATCACGAAGTCAGAAGATCAAGACCATCCTGGCTAACATGGTGAAACCCTGTCTCTACTAAAAGTACAAAAAAGTAGCTGGGCATGGTGGCGTGCGCTTGTAGTCCCAGCTGCTCAGGAGGCTGAGGCAGGAGAATAGCTTGAACCCGGGAGGCGGAGGTTGCAGTGAGCCAAGATCGTGCCACTGCACTCCAGCCTGGGTGACAGAGAGAGACTCTGTCAAAAAAAACACCAAAACAAACAAACAAACAAAAAACGGGGACACAGCTCTCCCTGTGAGTATGTGACAAAGATCCAGTCTGGTAACTTCTACAGAGCAGCAAGGGAAAGTCAGAGAGATTGCTAATAACTCCCCAGGCAGAAAGTGCTGACCTTTCCCCGTGTGTCCTGAAGGCACACACAGGCCTGTGAAACCACAGGCTCCTCCTGCGCTGCACACACCAGTGTCAACTCTGTATTCCCAGCAGACAACACAGTGAGCGTCTGGCACCACGAGGGTGCTGAACAAAGTGTTGGGAGGGATTGGAGTTTTTTCTTTTTTTTTTTTGACAGAGTCTCACTCTGTCGCCAGGTGCTAGGCTGGAGTGCAGTGGCACAATCTTGGCTCACTGCAACCTCCGCCTCCCGGGTTCAAGCAATTCTCCTGCCTCAGCCTCCCAAGTAGCTGGGACTACAGGCGCACACCACCACGCCCAGCTAATTTTTGTATTTTTTAATTAATATTTTTTATGTATTTATTTTTTGAGATGGAGTTTCGCTCTTGTTACCCAGGCTGGAGTGCAATGGCGCGATCTCGGCTCACCGCAACGTCCGCCTCCTGGGTTCAGGCAATTCTCCTGCCTCAGCCTCCCGAGTAGCTGGGATTACAGGCACACGCCACCATGCCCAGCTAATTTTTGTATTTTTAGTGGAGGCGGCGTTTCACCATGTTGGCCAGGATGGTCTCGATCTCTTGACCTCATGATCCGCCCGCCTCGGCCTCCCAAAGTGCTGGGATTACAGGCGTGAGCCAGCGGGGACTGGGGTTTTTAAGAGAAGCCCTGAGCTCATAACTGCATGGGGGAATAAATGGCTCCCTCCCTCTCTCAGAGTAAAACAGGAAACCTCCTCTCTCTTCTCAGGTGCTCTGGCCACGGTGCTGGAGGGTGATGACGACCCAGAATGTCTGCGTAGACTTTGCTCTGAGGTCAACCTCCCTCCCTCTGCCGAGCCAGATCCTAAGTAAGAGCTGGAGGTTGCTGGTTTAGGGCTGGCTTCCCGCGCGTAGACTGCCTGGGGTGGCAGGTATCTTAGGTCCACTGAGCTGGCAAGGGCGGAAGACATGCCTTGTGCAGCTTTGGGGCCCGGGGCTCGGAGCCCACGTCCACCACATAGATGCGAGAGGAGATGAGACTGGGCAGCACCAGCTTGGTGCGGGACTTGGTCCTGTCACCAAAGCAGCTGCTGCAGGTGTTCCATCCTAAGTGGTGCAGCTCATCCTTCAGGTTGGGCATGGGCAGCCGGTGGATGACCTAGGATGCGGGGAGAAGTGGTGCTCGCCCAGGCCTCGCTTCGGTCCGCATTTGGAAGGGGTGTCCCTGTGGACCCATTTGGTTTGGCAGCGCAGCACGGGCTGGATTTCAGCACTTCCCTTCTCCCCGTGCAGTGAACAGCCTGCACAACCGTACCCAGGGAGGGCCAAGAAGGGTGCAGCTGGGAAAGGCAGCCCCAGGGCCAGGGATGAGGGCAGCTACGGTCTCAAGGTAGCTGGTGACCAAGCCCCACCTTACCTGGCAATACTGGGGAGACTTGGGGTCAACATCCACAGTGGCCAGATAATCCGGGGCCTCAGTGTCGGTGTTTCGGTAAATGCAGGGCAGGTAGACGATCTCCTCCCGGGGTCCTGCAGGGTGGAGAGCAGGCAGCAGGGATGGCAGGGTGGGAAGGAGAGGTAGGGGCAGTGCTGGGTGTGCCAGAAGGTAAAGTCCCTCCACCCCCAGCTGTGGAATCAGCAGCAGGGTGCTGACTCTCAGACCATGGGCAATTACCTTTCATGGCCTCCAGAGGGGTGGAGTAGCCGGGTCCACAATTCCCACATTTCGTAGCTGTGGAAGCAATGGGGCGCATTGACTGCCATGCTCAGGAGGGTGAAGGCTCCTTCCCCATGTCCTGCGACACACATCCCAGCGGGCCAGGGCAGGGGCAGCTGTCCTAGGTCCTCATGCCAGCCTCATTGCTCTGACCTGTCCTTTCCACCACCCCCAGAGCCCTGATGAGAGTGAGGTTTTGGTTGGAAGAGCTGGAGACACATGACCTAAAGGTGGATAGACAGTCCAGCAGGACCGCGGCGGGCGGGAGGAGGGCTGATGCAGCGGGGCCGTGTGGTGTGGTGAGTGGACACGGACGTGGGGCCCAACCCCAGCCGGCCCCTGACTAGCCAGGGGAGCTTGGGCAATGTACTGAAGCTCCTCAGCCTCAGTTTCTGCATCCTGTATAAAATAGAGATGATAAGAATTCCACAGCGGGCCTTTGTGAGCATGCGGTAAGCGCTCAGCTCTGTGCTCGCCTGGGCCCTGTCCAGGGCACGGCTCTGGAGGAGCCGCTCTCAGGGAGAGGGGGTGGCGCCTGCTCAGCTCCCTTCACCAAGACGCTTCGACATCAGGGGGAGGCCACTTCCTGCTTTTCTCTCTCTTGGGTCCTGATCCTGGATTACATAACCGAGAGTCTGGGGCTTCCAGCTGGAAGTCCTCAGGCCAGCTTCTACCTCTGGGTGGGCCCCACTTCCTTTATCTGGAAAATAAGTGTTTGGCCCAATTCTGGAGAGCCCAGAGGCCTGCCCACCAGAGAGGTGGGGAGCAACCCTCCCTATCTCTGAAGTCTGGCAAGAGGGGCCACGCGAACCTCCAGGAGAAAGTCAGCAGCCAGCACCGCAGCATCAGAGTTTGGGGCCTGCTGGGGAGCGGGGGAGGCGGGGGGGGGGGGGGGCTAAAGAATAACCCAGAGAGGGCTGCAGGCTGAAAGAAACCCTGGAGTGGAGTCCACAAGCCTGGGCACTGTCTCCTGCCTTGTCCTGTGGCCACTCCAGCTTCTGCCCTCACAGCTGGGCTGCAAGTGGGGAGCCAGGAGTAGGCAGAGTGGGGCCTCCACGGGGCCCAGGACTCCCACTCACCTCAGCCATGGGGCTTAGAAAGCTGAGAGGCAGCAACGGCGTTTTTATTTTTGAGACAGAATTTCACCCTTGTAGCCCAGGCTGGAGCACAGTGGCATGATCTCGGTTCACTGCAGCCTCTGCCACCCGGGTTCAAGTGATTCAGCGTCTGGAAACCTGGTTACAAATCCCACGTTTGATGCCCTATTTCTCCATTTTATCCTCTTCATTTACTAAGAGGGGGCAATAATGATATTCCACATACTTCTCTGGGCACATATGGAGGACAAATAAGACAATATATTCAAAAGTCCTTTCATAAAAGTGTCCGTGAACCCAAGGATGTCCATGCCAGGTGCAGACTGGCCTTTCTTCACACCACCCACTGCCTGGCCAGTGGGGAGGTGATGATCAGCTCCCTGGGAGACGTCAAGGGCAATGGCAAAGGCACCTGCCAGCACTGTGTGCTCACCCTGTAATCCCAGCACTTTGGGAGGCTGAGGCGGACAGATCACCTAAGGTCAGGAGTTCGAGACCAGCCTGGCCAACATGGCAAAACCCTGTCTCTACTAAAAATACAAAAATTTGCCAGGCATGGTGGCGCACACCTGTAATCCCAGCTACTTGGGAGGCTGAGGCAGGAGAATCACTTGAATCTGGGAGGCGGAGGCTGCAGTGAACCGAGATCGTGCCACTGCACTCCAGCCTGGGCTACAAGCGTAAAATTCTGTCTCAAAAAAAAAAAAAAAGTGAATTCTGTGTAAATGTGGGTAGGGCTGTGCCAGAGGAGAGGAGAATGCCAGGCAGCACTTGATACTCAGAGAGAGGGCTGGAGGTGGGGAGGCAGAGGGAGAGGTCTGGTTCACAGGGGTTAAGAAGACTGCTTCTGCTAGGTTTCTGGAAAAGATTAAAAAACTCTAACACATCAAAACAGACATACAAAAACTACAAAGCCAGGGAGGGGCTGAGAGGGAAGTAAAGGTGGGGAGGATGAGCTGCCCGATCTCTGCCCACCCACACCCCAGCATCCCCAGCCCCCGCATTTCTTAGGGCCAGGCTCAGCATGCACAGAGGCCTCAGGGAGCATCGTTTCTCTTTCTGGGGAATACCTGCCTCTGAAGCATCTCAAGCAAGGTCTCGCAGCAGCTTTGGGTGTGGGATGGACCCAGGGAAAGCTCAAGCGGGTATTCCACTCCAGGATGGCTGCTGGGTATTCTGCCAGCTCAGGAAGAGCCAAGCCTGAGTGGGGAACGACCTCCCAAGCAAACCCCAACTCCTCTCTGCCTGACACCCGGGAGCCCACGGATAGAGGACTGGGAGGGCCAACGGGGACTTCGGGGGTGGGGAAAACAGGTCCCCAGTGAGACAGCGTGGGGGTCTCCAATTTCCCCCCCAAAAGCTTTGCTGTGTGGAGTAGTTAGAGAGTGACCTGGACATGGAAGGCGTGGGCTCCCTACCTCCCTGGAGTACAAAGTTGGCACCGGGCTGAAATCAGGATTGTCGCTCTCCTATGTGAGGGCCAGGGACCTAGTGGTGTCTTCTGAGAGCCCCCCCCATCTGATTTTCCCAGCTGCAGAAAGGCACTCTGGCCCCAGGTGGATGGAGCCAAGTGGGGGCCCGGGGTCCCACCTCCCAGCAGCGCCTCTGCCTGCCTTCCTCAGAGAAAGTTTGGCTAAGCTGGGAAATGCAGCAGGGTGGTGGGGGAGGTGCAGACCGGGAGGAAAGAAGCAGAGTCCAGCGCTCCCTCCCCGGCTCCCCCCTCAGGTTTTCTAGCATTTTCTGAAGGAGAGCCCTCCAAATTAGGGGCAGACAGAGCAGGCAGTGTGCGATTGGAAGCCCCTCTCCTTACCCATGCTGCCGACTGGTACACTTTGATGGTGGCAGGTTTGCCGTGCTGGTGTCAGAGGCCACTGTTCCAGGGAAGGAGCGAAGGGAAGGGATTTATACAGCCAGCTGGGGGCGGGGCAGGGCAGGAGGAGGGCCTGGTTTGCAGCCCAGACTGAGCTGCTCAGGGCAGCTGGCCAGGACACTCAAGTTGCCTAGGGCGACTGCTGTTTGAGTTATGGGGTGTGTATCTATGTGTTTAAGTGTGCAGGTGTGGGAGCTGTGCTTTTTTTTTTTTTTTTTTGAGACACGGTCTCACTCTTGCCCAGGCTGGAGTGCAGTGGTGCGATCTCGGCTCACTGCAACCTCTTCCTCCCAGGTTCAAGCGATTCTCCTGCCTCATCCTCCCGAGCAGCTGGGATTACAGGTGCCCGCCACCATGCCCAGCTAATTTTATATTTTTAGTAGAGAAAGGATTTCACCATGTTGGCCAAGCTGGTCTCAAACTCATGACCTCATGTGATCCACCCACTTCAGACTCCAAAGTGCCGGGATGACAGGCGTAAGTCACCGCGCCTGGCCAGCTGTGCTCTTCAGTGGGTGCCTCGCTGTGTGTGAATGTGTGTGTCTGGGCGTGTGTGTGCTCCTGTGTGTTCCTTGTGCATGTGCCTGCATAAGTGTGTATCTGTGCCTGTGTGTGAGTTTCCACCTGTACGAATGTGGCTGTGAGTGTACTTGTGTGTATTTGTGTTTGCGTGTGTGTGCGCACCTCTGTGAGCACGTGCCTGACAGAGTATCTACGCCTGCGTGGACATGTGCACAGTGCCTGTGTATGTGCAGCGTGTGCCTGTGCAGCTGCCTGGGCATGCACATGTTCCTGTGTCTCCAGATGCTCATCTTTGTATTTGGACCTGTCTCTTGGCATTTAGGGGCACCCAGGACTGTGGGCCCATCTGCTGCTACCTCTACGGCCAGACTCACCTCTCCCCTAAGATTGCTCTCTGATTCCAGATAGTCATACTCTTTGGATAAAAGCTCTGGGGTGGCCGGGCGCGGTGGCTCACGCCTGTAATCCCAGCACTTTGGGAGGCCGAGGTGGGAGGATCATGAGGTCAAGAGATCGAGACCATCCTGGCTAACATGGTGAAACCCCATCTCTACTAAAAATACCAAAATTAGCCAGGCGTGGTGTGGTGTGCCTGCAGTCCCAGCTACTTCGGAGGCTGGGAAGAATTGCTTGAACCCAGGAGGCGGAGGTTGCAGTGGCCGAGATTGTGCCACTGCACTCCAGCCTGTTGACAGAGCAAGACTCCATCTCAAAAAAAAAAAGCTCTGGGGTGAAGTTTTAGTTGGGTAGATAAAAGAATAAGGTCTGGGCTTGAGACTGCAAGTAGAAGACGGGGTTTCCAAACCAGAGTGGAGGAAAGGGAGCGAAACTGGGCCTTGGTGCAGTGGATGTCGGCCCTTCTGGCTCCCATCAGCGAGGGATCATATGCCCATCAGAGAAGACTCTCTGTGGCTGCCCAGAGCAGGGGTCTTCTTTTATTCTCAGTGCCACTCCACCCCTCTTGGCTCCATCTTGCGTCTGTCATCCTCACCATTGTGCCATCAGCCCGCCAGGCATCAAAGATACTTGTGTGTGCAGCTGCCCCACGGGGGAGGCCCCAAAGGCTGTTTCCTTGTCTTTGCCAGCTTCCTCCTGTCCCGGCTACCTCCACTCAGCCTGCCTTCATCCTTCCCTCTGGCACTCCTCCTCCTCCTGAGGTCTTCATCTGCCTCCTCTCTATTCTCCAGCTTCTTGGCTTGGGGTAGTCCACCACCCAAGATCTGAAAGAGAAAGAAATATTATCCCCACCTTCTCATCAGAAATTACTGAGTCAGGGTGGGGAGGGATAATGAGGGGAGAAATACCAGATATAGGTGGCAGGGGGATGGAGGCAGCAAACCACCTTGCCATGTGTGTCCCTATGCAACAGTCCTGCATGATCTGCACATGTACCCCAGAACCTAAAGCACAATAAGATAAATGAATAAAATAAAATCTTAAAAAAAAAATTACTGAGTCATTAACTTAAAAAAAAAGCTGTTACTTTGTTTGTTCTGGTCTGCCACTGACTCCCTCTTTCATGCTCCTGAGCTCTGACCCCGCTGTCTCTGCGGCTCCTCCGTGGCACCCCTCACCTCTGCCTGTGGCTTTCTCCCTGAACTTTTGCTCTACCCAGAAAGGTGGTTGGGGAAGTTGTCCTAATCTGGGCTGCAGATGGAGGCAGTAAAGGTAGAGGGGTCGAGCTGGGAAGAGAGAAGCCCCCAGGGCGTCGTTGCTTCTTCCAGACCGACAGAACTTGGGTAGGTGGTGGACAGCTGCACCCCAATCATCGCCATTAGCTCCTAAGCACTCTAATTTTGCTTCCCAGGAGCTTAAGGGCTCCCTCCCCTATTTGATCTGCCCGTCCCTGCACCAGTCCACTCAGAAATATCCTCCTATGGCCCGCCATTGATGCCTGAAACTTCACCAATAGCAGTTGATGTCTCTGTGTAACTACAAGGTGGCCTCCTCTCGGCTCCCAGCTGCAGTCATCGCCTCTGGAGTGGTAACACTTTCAGCTCCTAGCACTGTAGCGCCACTTAGTCTAATCAGAAGCATGCCTCCCAGTGGGCAGCACTGCAGAGCGGCCGGGGACCCAATGATACCCAGGAAGAGGCTAAGGTGAGGGACAGAAGGAGTTTAAAAAGCAAATGTTAACAAAGAAAAAAAAAACGAGAATAAAAAGCAAATGTTATCGTCTTGGCTATCTTCCTTCTCTATCCTTTAAAGAAAAGGAAGAATAAACCAGTGAGGTGGCTCACACCTGTAGTCCTAGCATTTCAGGTGGGTAAAGTGGGCGGATCCCTTGAGCTCAGGAGTTTGAGACCAGCCTGGGAAACAGAGTGAAACCACTTCTCTACAAAAAATACAAAAATTAGCCGGGTATGGTGGCATGTACCTGTAGTCTCAGCTACTTGGGACGCTGAGGCAGATTGCTTGAACCTGGGAGGCAGAGGCTGCAGGTAGCTGTGATCACGCCACTGCACTGCCTCCTAGCCTCCCTCCACCCTAATTTTTTGGAAGATCAACTTTAAGGTTTCAGAATATATCTCTTTAAGACTGGAATTCCAGATTGGATGTGGTGGCTTATGCCTGTAATCCCAGCACTTTGAGAGGCTAAGGCAGGAGGATTGCTTGAGCCAGGGAGTTCAGGACCAGCCTGAGCAACATAGGGAGACCCTGTCTCTATGAAAAAAAAAATTACCTATGGTCCCAGCTATTCAGGAGGCTGAGGTGGGAAGATCACTCAGCCCCAGGAGTTTGAGTCCAGGATGGACAACATAGCAAGACCCTTGTCTCTTAAAAAAAAAAAAGGAAAGGAAAGGAAAGGAAAAAGAAGGGTCTGACTAGAACAGAAAGTATGTATCTTGTTATACATGTAATGTATAAGAAGAAAAAATGAGGTGGGTTTGAAAACCAATTATGCAGACTAGAAGAGGTAGCAGCAACTTTGATTACAAGGACATAGGTGACGCTTGCCATCACCAACGCCCTCTCCAGCCTTCCTCCTGTGCCAAGCCTGGCTCCAGAAGAGCTGAGACAAGAGCCATAAAATGGCTTTCATGCAATAATCTCTACCTTTACAGAGGCCCACTTGGCTAGCACCCATTCATTTAAGAGTCCCTAGAAGAAAGAATTACATCAGTCTTGGGTAATGGTCCAAATTAAGCCATCAAAACCCCTAATAAAGCTTCCATTTTGAACATGTTACAATACTTGAAATAAAATTTCCAAAGGAAAATAAAAGCCCTTCCATTTAGGGGTGGGAAGGATATGATCCCTGGGGTCATATCCCTGAGTCACAGTTTCTCTACTAAGGCTCAGGACGGGCAGAAACAAATCCCCTTCTTTGGGGAGCCCAGGTCCCCGCTTTCTCACCTCAGCACCTGGATGCTGCCTGAGAAGAAGGTGGAGTATTCTTCTCCCAGGGTCCCAGAAGGACAGGAGGCCAAAGACTTTGGGAGACACGTCCTCAGGTCTACATGGAATCGCGAGGAGGCCGGGGCAAGGGCCTCCCTGCCCGTCCTGGATCTGCTGTCTTTGCTGCATCATATCCACCCGGCTGGTTTCCTCTACGATTTCCTCAGGGTCACATCCACATGTAGGAATGCTGCAAGAGCTATGCGGGATATGGGAACCCCAGGTTTCCTTTCTCAACGTTTCAAAAGGCTGCTCAGAAACCAAAGTTTAAAAAGGCGTAAACTGAAAATAACAACTGTTCGCAATACGCAGGAATCTTTAACAAATCAATTGGAAAAAGACAAATTACACAAAGAAAAACAGTACAAGAATATGAAAAAATACGATATAAATGGCTAATAAGCATAAGAAAACATACCTGTCTCATTAGCCCTTAGAGAAATGCTTGTTAAAGCAACGAAAAGATAGGATTTTCAAAAATAAAAAGATTGATAATACGCAGCATCAGGAGTGTGGGGAAAGGACCACTCCTGAATTCTATTGGCAAGACTATGAAATGGCGGAACATTTTTAGAAGCAAATTTAGCAGCATCTAGCAACACGTGAAATGGAAATCCACTTCTAGCTATCTTCCTTGTGGAAACTGACAAGTATATAAATACATTAATAGGATGTTCATTGCAACAATGTTCATAATATTGAAAGGTTGCAAACAACCAATAGGGGAATGGTGAAATATATTATGGAACATCCATCGTATGAAACCCCAAGCACCTTAATGTATAGTTTTCTTTTCTTTTTTGAGACAGAGTTTCGCTCTTGTTACCCAGGCTGGAGTGCAATGGCGCGATCTCAGCTCACCGCAACCTCTGCCTCCTGGGTTCAGGCAATTCTCCTGCCTCAGCCTCCTGAGTAGCTGGGATTACAGGCACGCGCCACCATGCCCAGCTAATTTTTTGTATTTTTAGTATAGACAGCGTTTCACCATGTTGACCAGGATGGTCTCAAGCTCTGGACCTCGTGATCCACCCGCCTTGGCCTCCCAAAGTGCTGGGATTACAGGCTTGAGCCACCGCACCCGGCAATGTATACTTTTCTATATACCAACACAGAAGGCTATCCAAGAAATGCTGTGGTGGTGGGGGGAGCCAGAAAGAATAATCT